ATTTACGAATTCCGATTGGTCATTTTCTATGCGCCGCGTCACGTTACTGCAAAAGTGTCTAGACCCCTGGCGGGGCTTTTAAATACTGCTCTGTTTTGGTCTATTTTGGTCTAGCCCCAATCTATTTAATCATAAGCACCGTAAACTTAAAATAACTTGCTCATTAAAATTAAAATATATTATATATACAGTATATTGTAATATATTTAATCGTTAGAAGTATTATAAAAAATAGTTTCTACGCTATTTGTCTATGTAAAATAATATAAACACCATATTTATTAATTTTCTCGGCAACTGGAATAAGAAGTAAACCCGGTTATTTCTCCTAATATGATTTATTAAATAATTTCACGGCAACCGGAATAAGAAGTAAACCCGGTTATTTCTCCTAATATTAAATGAGGATCTAACTTATTAAGGTTAAACTTGCAAAATGATCGTCAGTTTCAAAGATTTATAAACTACGTAATCTAATCATATCAGATATCGATATATACGTTTTTATTATATTCATTGATTACGTAAATCTGGTTTATTTACTACATTATATAAAAATTATATTTCCGAAATTTAAATTTAAATTTTAATAATTTAATTAAATTAAATTTACAATTTCTAGTCCAGACTGGTCCAGACTGGTCTGATATGATATTAGGACCGAAGCCTAACTAATTTATTTAGCGTTAGTTCTGAATTAGTCTTATAACAGATTATCAATTTAGATCCGACTGAATGCCTTCTTATATAATATAAAATTATGTTGATTTTATTCTTCGAATGTAAAAAAAAAAAAATTCCTAAAGAGATATGCATTTAGAGAATGAGAACCACTAAAAAAAAGTTCTCAATTAAAATAGCCAATTTACGATTACATAATTATTATAACTCATTAATTATGCATATATTCACCAATGCATAAACGGTCTCACTTAAAAATTTCATAATATTTTTAATGCGATTATACGAAACTAAAGATTACACCATCCTGCATGATAGTAGAAAAATCAAAAGCGATATTTTATAATTTACGTTATCTTTTATTATTCATTTAGCAAAACCTTAGAAGGAGAGGATACAGCTTATAAAAAAAAATTAAACCTTAAGAAAGCGAATTAATACATGCATATAATCACCTGTACGCACATATTTAATGCATACATAATTAATTTATATTAAATATCATATACCATAGGTTTTTGACCGAAATATTTTCTTGAGCCAAATTCAGAATTATATTCAATTAATTCTTTAGTAGCATTTTCTACTATCTCATCATATTCTTCTGGAGTGGCACATGAATATTCGGTCAATGCAAATCTCATAGCTTTATAAGTAGAAAGAAAATCTTGTATTGCCTAATTATTAATCAAATTAAATTAAATAAATCGAAAAAAAAATAATATATTAATTACTGTAAATATTTAATAATATATTATATTTAATAATATATTTTATTTAATACTTCACTATGATCAGTTTATAAAATAAATCAATTATTTTATGGTATTTTTAAATGATAAAA